CCCTCGGGTGTGGCGGGACGGGGGGGGTCGCTCGGTGCGTGGGGGGAGGCGGGGCGCTCCTGGCCCCAAGCCGGCAGGGGGATCCTTGCGGCCCCTTCGAGCTGGCTCCGCGGTTCTTATCCCGCTGCCCACCGGGGCCGGTTCTAGCCACAGCTGGGGGCCGCCTGCATCTCTGCTTCAGATGAGCGTTCCCGTGGCTTACCTGTCTGGCCTCCCCTCTCTCGTCTCTTTCCTGCCTCGCCTCTTTTCACCAAGGTTAAGACCCCGCTAGACTTGAGCGCCCGTGGAAGTTTGTTTCTGACAGTGCAGAAATGTCATAGAGCTGCTGGGAATGTCTCTCTGAAGGGCCAGGTGCATGATGTGTAGGAGGATAGGAACAAAATCTGCTGTAAAAGGAAACTTTTACTTTTAGTGAAAAGTAGAAGTATGCTGCAATGCTTTACAAAGCTTGAGATCAACTGGGCTGCCTTGTGCCTTTGGCTGTTCGCTGGGCAGTCTAGCAGAACAGCGAGTCTGTTACTCATGAAAGCCTACTCTTGTACTAACACAGGGAATTGCATCCTTTTCTTCAGCTCTCATTCTGTTTGTTTTGTTTGTCTTTATAATCAGAAAAAAAATTTAATGTCCAGAGAGTTCTCTGACCTATTTACACTGCATGCTATTAAAAGACATGTATGAAACTCCTTCACTACAAATAAAATAAGGAAGAGAATTGAGGGATGGGTAATGCTTGCCTAGTGAGCCAAAAATGTAATGTATTCTAACTCATGTATTTGTAAGGTAAATATATTTTTCAGGTAGTACAGTAATTTTATAGAGCCATATTTTATGTCGGTAGCACTCTGTTTAAAGGTTCAGCCTCTATTAAGTTGTTCATTAGACTAATTTCAGTCTACCCTGGCTAGTGGCTACTTATTAATGGGACTGGATTTTTTGATAACCTCTCACTGTAAGGAAAAGAGAAATTTTATGCTATGTTTTAATGGCGTGGTATCACAAGTAAGTCTTATTTTGAGTTTTCAGATTAGAGATCAGATTTAAGTCTGTAATCGTGAAAAAGTGTTATGCCAATGAGAGAGAGTTCTCCTGTGCACATCATAAAATTAGCTTAAGGAATGACAGTAGAGCCATGTTGACATGAGAGCATTTCCAACTAATATAGTGCTGTGCATATGAGTGCTTATACTGGAAAATCTTATGTTGCTCAGGAGTGTGTTTTTTCACACACTTGAGCAACAAAAGTTTTGCTGATGTACACGTTAGCATAGCCAAAGCCCTAGCATGCATAACTTTGTGCAAGATTGGGATGCTGGATCCTGTTGCAGATTTGATTTTTGAAGACCACATGAATGATTGAGTAGAACACATAATGAGAACATTAGATTCTCACATGGATATTGGTATTATTGATAGAAAGGAAACACTTCTTCTGTGATGAAAGATTTCTGTCTTTGTAGCCATTATGGTTCTGCTTTAGATTAGGTTTGAAAAATCATCAGTTTTGAGGCTAATAATAAGGTAGTAAAAACTTAAACAGCTAATAGTCTGGTAGTACTTTAAAGACTAACAAAACATGTAGATGGTATCATGAGCTTTTGTGGGCACAGCCTACGTCTTCAGATGACCAGAGTGTTCAATGTCCAGAACCAAGAATAAATAAGGGAAGGTGGGGCGGGGGAGAAAGAGGCTGTGGGTAGATACATTTCAAAGGGAAAGCCAAGCTAGTGTGTAACAGGAAAAACTGAAAATCAACAAATAGTTTAGCAGCACCTAAAACAGGGATTCTTAACCTTTTTACCTGCTTTGTCAGATGCATGACTTCTCGTTATTGGGTACATAAGTTTCAAAGGGATAGCTGAGCCAGTCTGAAACAGGAAAAACCTAAAAAACAACAAATAAGTCTATTAGCACCTTAAAGACTAAATAGTTAAAAGAGGCTGATAGGAACCATTAGTTTGCACTAGGAAAGGAAGAGTACTAACACCAGATTCTGCACAGACATCAATAAGGTAGTAAGTAATAAGAGAGGAAGTTCTTACAAATAAAAGCATGTTGGGTGTTTGAGTTATCTTCCTCCCCTCCCCATCCTATGGAGTTAACTGAAGAAAAAAAATTCCTATCTGTTGCCCTGGATATCCGACGGACACTTTTGTATTGTCAAATTCTAAGAGTCTTCCTTTGGAATACCATCTTGTTAGTCTTTAAAATGCTACATAGCCCTGTTTTTTGTTTCAGCTAGACTAGACTAACACGGCTACATCTCTATTAGTATTCTATCTCTACATAGCTAGGGTCGAAGTGGAACTGAAGTTCTGGATTTTCATTATTAATCCTCTGATACTGTGATAGTGACTCCTTCCCACTATTGATTATTGTTCCTATGTAAGAGAGAAATAATGCATACCTTTTGGATTTTTATTGTGCACCCAGAGAGAAATTTAGAGTTGTAGCCTTTCATAAATCTCCATATTATCGTTTCAGAGGGTAGCCGAGTTTTGTCATTAGGACCAAAAGCTTTCTTCCATCTATTTGTCACTCCAATACAGGATTTAATACAATTTAATCTTCCTTGGTTTACTAATACTTCATATATCTGTATTGCTTTAAGATCTTCAGGTGAAAAATACTTTCTAAATGTTAATTACTGTAAAGCTAAAATTGCTCACAGTATCAGAGAGCAACATAGTTCTGCCCACAGATGGGAATCCAGGAAGTAATATGAGGCATTCATTACCTTTGGTGATGTGGCATGTCTGCTGCTGCTTGGATTCCATATGATTTTGTTTGTGTCTTGAAGCAAACTACAGAGCTTGTTTGTTTAACTAGGGTGGAGAAGAATCCTGAATCAATAGCGAAAGTGTGTGCTTTAAAAGTATTGCATATATTAACAATATCTTTCACCTGAGTTCTGGGTTCTGACTCTTACAGTGTGAGGGGGGGAAGGCAATATAAGCTCTTAAAGGTAAACATTTTTTTTTAGGCTGTTGCTGAGATGTTCATTTTGGCAAAGATACAGCTGACAACATCAAATGCTTCAAACAGTGCAGGAAGATGTTTCAGTTTAGGTGCTTGTGATGCCTGCTCTTGGATGGAACCCAAAGTACAGAAGCCAGAATTGAACTTATTTAAATAGTTCATCACTTACTGATTTTGGGGGTAGGGAGTCTTAAATAGGTTTCTTAAATTGTTGTTTTGCAGTTTACCTTAAGATATTAAGGGTGGGGAAAGACTAACATCACACTACATCATGTCAGTGTTTCCAGATTATTCTGACTTCTGGCATATCAGAGTGAAAATATCCCTTAGAGCCCTTACCGCTGTTACTGTATATAATTTTTCCTAAAATGTCTTGGATCCTTTCCCTCCCTTTGCAAAATATATTTAACCCTTTTCTTCCTTGACATTTCCCTTGAAATAGAATGCATGAATGTATTGTCTTCAAAAATGTTTCACAGACAATACTAATTTGTTTCAAGCAATATCAGATCAGCAAGATATGAAATCACACACCTGAATGCTGGCGCATGTGTAAAATATCTTAAAGTTTCACCGTGTTAAGTTCTTATCTTTAATATGTTATCTGTATAAATGTTTTGTTTCCTCAGCAACAATGTCAGAAGGGGACAGTATTGGAGAATCTGTTCATGGCAAATCTTCAGTGGTCTATAGATTTTTCACAAGACTTGGACAGGTTAGTTTTATGTGCGAGATCATGTTGGGAACTAGGATCACTGGATTTATACAACTTTTTTTAAGTCATGGCTGTTTCAGTTTAAGGGAATAATTAAGTTACTGATTACTGTAAAAAGCATCCTTAAAATTTTGCTTTTTAAAAATGGATGGTCTTGCAACTCTGATGACATACATAATTTAATTAATGTTTCTATCACTGTTTAAATGTTTAACAGCATGTATGCATATTTATTATTGCTTTAATGACATCATCATGTTAGTTGCTCTCAGTTGAAGAGACAGTCCCAAAAAGCTTAGTATAATCATAATTAATTCAAGCAATTACTGTCTGCTAGTAAAACCTAAAATGTATGTTTTACTAAACCATGAGTACTTACGAAGATTAAATAACATAATACACAAATATTTAAGTGATGTGTGACTTTTAGATGCACAGCCTAAGCTATCTTAAAGAAGGCTGGTTTTTTGTATTGGTATTTAGCACTTTCTGAACATTTTCTCCCTTCAAGATGTTCAAAGTTAGATACACACAACTTATGATTTCCAGAACACTTATAACACAAATTTTCTAATAAGCATATTTTTGTTTGTGTCCTCTGGGTTGCTTGGGCTCAAAATCTGTTTTAAACCAAAGGTTTAAACATAACATTATTATAAATGTATTTATGAAACTGAAAACAGATCACCTTGCCAGTTACAGCTTTAATCTGGTAGCCAGTATACTAGGGTATGTCTACACTACAGCACTAATTCGAACTAACTTAATTCGAATTAGTTAATTCGAACTAAGCTAATTCAAATTAGTGCATCTAGGCCTAAAAACTAGTTCGAATTAGCATTTTGCTAATTCGAACTAGCATGTCCACATTGAGTGGACCCTGAATCGAGGTTAAGGATGGCCGGAAGCAGTGCCGTCAGGGCATCAGGTTAGCATGGAGCTGCTGTCTCAGGCTAGCCGAGGGCTGTACTTAAAGGGACCCGACCCCCATCCCGGACAGACAGTTCTCAGGGGTTCCCCACTTGCAAAGCAGTCCTGGCTTGGAGTGCCCTTAGTGCCCACACTGGGCACATCACAGCACTCGGCCATCAGCCCGGCTGCACTTGCCGCAGGCTGCCATCCGGAGGGGAGGTCAATCAAGGGGCTTCAGGAGAGCTTCCACCCCGAGGAGCCCGCAGAGCCAGCCCAGTCCTTCCCATCGGGGGCTCATACCCCATTCCTCCCTCACCTCCTTCCACTTACCCCTCCCTAGCCCCCTTTCCTGATGTATAAAATAAAGGACACGTGTGTTCAAAAATAGAAAGTCTCTTTATTGAACAAAACTCGGGGAGACTGGGAAAAGGAGGTGGGAGAGGGGAAGAGAGAGGGTAGGAGAGGGGAGGGCAACTAAAATGATCAGGGGTTTGGAACAGGTCCCATATGAAGAGAGGCTAAAGAGACTGGGACTTCTCAGCTTAGAAAAGAGGAGACTGAGGGGGGATATGATAGAGGTCTATAAAAGCACGAGTGGTGTGGAGAGGGTGCATAAAGAAAAGTTCTTCATTAGTTCCCATAATAGAAGGACTAGGGGACACCAAATGAAATGAATGCGTAGCAGGCTTCAAACTAATAACAGAAAGTTCTTCTTCACAAAGCAAATAGTCAACCTATGGAACTCCTTGCTGCAGGAGGCTGTGAAGGCTAGAACTAGAACAGAGTTTAAAGAGAAGTGAGATAAAGTCATGGAGGTTGGGTCCATGGAGTGCTATTAGCAAGGGGGTAGAAATAGTGTCCCTGGCCTCTGTTTGTGGAAGGCTGGAGATGGATGGCACGAGACAAATGGCTTGGTCATTGTTTCGGTCCATCCCCT